CCAGTCTGGAGAAGAGAAGGCTCAGCAGAGACCTCATTGCTCTCTACAACTCCCTGAAAGGAGGCTGTGGTAAGCTGGGGGTCTGCCTCTTCTCCCATGTGACTAGAGATAGGATGAGAAGGAACAGCCTCATGCTGCATCGGGGAGATTCAGGTTGGATATTAGCAAGAATTTATCATCTGGAAGAGCCGTCAGGCTCTGGAACAGGCTGCCCAGGGAGGTGGTGGAGTCACCATCCCCAGAGGTGTTGCAGAAACATCTGGGTGTTGTACTAAGGCATGTGGTTTAGTGGGAATATTGCTGGCAGGTGGACAGTTGGACTGGATGATCTTGGAGGTCTTTTCCGACTTTGGTGATTCTATGAAATTATTCCAAAGACAGATGAGCAATCTACTCCCAGAAGGCATTTAGCAGAACCCCTGCTTACAGAGGTCCATTAGCAAACAGTTGTGTGTACACAGCAGCAAAAACTGGGTTTCACCAACACTTAGGGCTTGCTCTGTAGCAACACAAACATTTGCTTCGCTCGTGATGTTCTCACACATCCCTACTCGTTTGGCATGCCTGCTTGTGTTCAGCTGGGTGATACTTCTCTGGCAGTCATCGCACACTGCCGTAACCTGCACAAAGACAAGAACGTGGAATGACAGCACATGGCACAGAAACTGACTGAAGTTTGGATATTTGGAAACATTCTTTCTTGTTGATGGTCAAGTGATTTACCAATAACTGAAATCCGGCATTAAAACATGCCTTATTAATTGCAGTGTCAAACATTAACAATAGTTGGATGTCCTGACCTGCTCAAAGTGGATGTGAATTGCTCCAACTTACATTTCTATTTGTTTTCTCTTAAGGGCTGTGAAGCTCATTTAACTCTTCCTTCGTGAAGCTTGTTGGCCATACAGGGATGTCTCCATCTAATATTTCATGACCGACATGCAGTCGCTCTCGCCTATCATTTCCAGTAACAAAGAAACTTTATGTTACCACTGAAGAAAAAATAGAGCGTTACTATCTGTATTATTCTGATCGAGGAAGCTGACCATTGAGCAAACCTCCCGCCTTTGTAAGGCAATCACTGCACTCAGACTGCAAACTTCTCACCTTTGTCTGTTTTCGGCTGACATTCTAGTTCTCTTCCATCAGATCAACAGTGAGACTGAGTGCACCCTCAGCAAGTTTGCAGTGACACCAAGCTGTGCTGTGCAGTCAACACGCCCAAGGGACAGGATGCCATCCAGAGGGACCCAGACAGGCCGAGCAGTGGGCCCAGGAGAACCACAAGAGGCTGACAAAAAGCCAAGTGCAAGGTCTTGCACATGGCTCACAGCAACCCTCACTATCAATACAAACTCCAGCCTTAGATCTAATGCTCCCCTAACAGACTACAGATGCTTTGCCAGCCTTGCTCAATGCATTTTCAGCCACAAAGCCTCCCTGCTCCCACACTAGAATATCTTCTGGATAAACTACATCCTTAAGCCTTCCTCTGGAGAGGATCAAGACATTCCCTCTTCTCCCTGCCAGGCGAGCAGTCCCAGTGGAGTCCTAACTACCCGTCAAATACCAGTTGCCCCAACATTCTGCTGCGCCTTTCTTTCCACCTCGTAATGCTGCTTTTCTGCAGTCACAACTCAGCCTTTCACTCCTGAAAACCTACGCGCTTCACCTGCATTCTCCATCCATTTGCAATCCTTTGAGTTACCTCACTCAAACAACTTTCACCAACTGCAAACTGACTCCAAAGGAAACGCTGGCTGCTGCACCTGGAACAAAGCAATGCCAGACACAGGCGCAGACCCATACAGATCATCTGTTGTAAACCGGACGTATGGAAAAAGCTGTTTCCATTAAGGGAGGCGAGGCACTGGTACAGGCTGCCCAGAGATGTGGTGGATGTTCCATCCTTGGAGACATTCAAGGTCAACAGTCGGGCTGGATGGGGCTCTGGAGCATCGGTGTGACTTGTAGGTGCCCCCGTTCATGGCAGGTTTTGTGCATCTATCCTAACAAACGTTACATCCTCTTTAATATATCCCACTCGCAGAATCGTTTCAGTTGGAAAGGACCCTTAAAGGTCATCTAGTCCAACTCCCCTGCAATGGCTCTGCTCCAGGTGCAGAACCCTGAATTTCCTCTGTTGAATTTCATGCCATTGACAACTGCCCAGTGCGTTAAGATACACCCCCGCTTTAGTAACTGCATCACCTTCTATTCATTTCATACATCCCTATATACTTCTGGCTTTTTTTATAAGCCAACCATCACCGGGGCACCATCAGTAGTTCTACTGGTTATGCTGACAAAAGTTAAAGAAAACTGCTCGAGTGCTTCTGCACACATCTCTTCAAACTGTAATCTCTCAAGACTGACAGTTTGCTAGCAAACGAAGCACAGCACCATACATCATTTAGCACCATATTATTTGTGAGCACTGCCCTGCGTGCTCCCCACACCCCGGGGCCGGGCTGCTCCGTGGGGCTCAGCTGCTGCCGTGATGTGGCAGCATGGGATGTGGGCTGCAGTGCAAGGGGAGCTGGGCCACGTGCAGCCACAGCTTGGACGTGGCTGCTGCACTGCATGGGCAGAGCTGGCTGCTTCCAAGCACGTCCTGCTAGCTGCCTAGAGAAGCACTTGTGCAGGACACACTGGCAGCTCTCACGTGCAGTGACAGAAAGAGATTCAGAGACGGAAGATACCCAAAGATAAAGAGCTCCCCTTACACAAAGGAGCACCATGCTTCCTGCACACAAACCATACCCTGCCACGTTTCCCTGCTTCCTCTCCCCGAGTCACACCTTCTCCCCCCTTCCCCAGACTGCTAAAATCATTACACTAGTAAGAGAAGTGCTCTTTGAGGCACTCCTCTTATCAAACCGTACTCCCAAAAACCCATCTACTACCACTGGAAAGACACAACTGACTGCAACCTCAAGGCTCCAGAAGTGAAGCCACAACTCAGTTCTCCTGTGTAAACTGCATTTGCTCCCTCCTCACTCCTCCTTGTCAGGCCTTACAAGCACACTGTGACACAACCTTCAGCTGCCTGACCAACACATTCCTCCTTGTACCCCGGTGCAGCACTCTGCCAGCCCACCACAGTTTTACATCGAGACTGGCTAGGCTGACTTTTTCATCAAAAGAGAGAAGTGTGCACACAGGAGATATTCACCAGTGGCCACAAGGCACTCTCTCACTGGTGGGACATGGCGAGGCCTCAGTTGGCTCCCAGCACACAAGCAAGTCTCTTTGGAACAGCACTCATGCACTCTCGCACACTCCTTCCGCATCCAACGAGGAGCCACAAGGGAGTCAGAGACCGAAATACTCCTGCACTCACAGGAAGTTTTTGGTAAAACCCCAAGCTCTGCTCCCAAGCTCCAACAGCTTCGTCCCTTATTGAAGCTCTGTCCCTAAATTGTATCAGGAAGAAAACACAGTTCCTGTTTACTAGCAAGTGACAACAACCCAAACCTTTCCTGCCTTTAAGGACCCCTTCTCTCTCCTATTCTTCCTTCCTTCTGCACACAGCTTTAAGTGTTTCCACAAAGAACAGAGCAAAAGCATCTCTTAAGGGAAGTGATCAAAACACAGCAGGGATAAGCCCTTTCCATCACTGTTTTGTTTAGATTCCCCCAGCTGTCAGAGCTTTGGAGGGTGTCCTGCACTTAGCTTCCATGGCCCAGCTGTACATCAGAGGTGGGGAGCTTCAAACTATTTTCAGTATAACCTTAAAATGGAAACTGCTCTTCATAGCACTATCAGAATGCAAACGAGTTGCCCATTTTGTGCCCAACAAAGCCACTGCTCCTCAGCACATCTGCTGATGCAATGCTGTGCCTCACGAAGTCTCAGATCCCTTCTCTCTGCTCTGATCTTTACAAGGAGAGCAACTAAGTCACATGGAAGCACGATGCCCAGACACCAATTTGAAACCAGACACAGGGTTCAGAGTTCAGATTTAGGCACTCCCCAGAAGACAGCAAACCAGGGCAGGCTCAAGGCATCTCCTGGGGACCAAAGGCCTTCATACGAGTTAGCAAGTCAGCACCCTCTACGAGTGCTAAACAGTAAGCTTTCAAGCTTACGTCTTATTAGCTTTCATGCCATTAAACGAGGAGTTAAAGCCTCCACCTGCTCCTCCTCTCAGAAAACGTGCACACCCCCCCACTTCTTTACTAAATACTTACAGTACTAGAAAGCAAACAAGATAAACACACTCCCTAATACTGCCAATCACTGCACAGTTTGACCATCACACTTCATTAAACACCAGGTTTACTCGCAGCTGTTCAAACAGCATCTACCACAACACCTCATCAGGTAAAAGCAACCAAGGCAGTTTATTGAGGCAAATTTCAGAACGACTTCAGAAGAGGCAGCACCTCTCTCCCTACCACCTTCCAGCCAGGCAGTGGAAACACCTGAAAAGCACACCTTCCTTTTCCTGCTACAGTTACGCTTGGGCTTTTCTCAGACAACTCGTCAAGCATCAAATTCTCATTTAAATCTACTTAGTGAGATCCCAAACTGATGGGAAATGTGACAACCACAGGAGTTACGAAAACATTGCTAGCAGTTCCAAACATCTCTAACAGTACCGCAGCGAGACCAGACAGCATTCTGCCCCGTGAGCTCTGTTTATGGCCATCAACTCCACAATGCCACTGGAAGTGAAGATTTTTCGGGAGCTGCCTGAGGACCTGTGGAGTTTGCTGCGTAACCGCACTGCAGTCTTGCTGCTGTTCGCGTCTCAGCATCCTTGGCATTTCCTGCTCCGTTCAAACGGTGTGAAGGGAACGCTGGTCGTTCCAGCGGGCTGCTCGTGTGCTCTGAAACTGCCACAGTCCGATCTTAGGCAAGAACATCTCGGACCCTCAGGAAACAAAATTCTGCAACCTATGCTCTTACTTCATAGCTTCTGAACGTTGGCATCTTCAATACATAAAAATAAACATCAACACAAAGGTTAACACCAAACACAAAAAGGAGCCAGCCAGGTGACAAATCTCTTTTAACAGAAGGCAGCATTGTTTTATCCAAAAGCAAGAGATCCCACACAAACAAACCCAGAAAGAAATCTTACTCAACATACATAGAACATTCCACTTTGCAGAAAAGCAAGGCATTCCATGGAGAGAAATCTGCTCATAATCGCACTGATCATCTCAGATAGGAACAGAAAAGGAGCGAAGTCAATCATGTTTAACTCTACCTTCTGGAACCTCAGCTTTGATGTGACTGTAGGTCACAGCTGTTGTTAGGCATTGCTCAAAAACCCACTGCATTCCTGTTCAGATAAAAGCTTCAGAGTATTTCTGACAGGCTGGTCAACGCTCTCATTACAGGAATGATGTGGAAGGAAGTAAACTGACACAGCCACCTTGGGCTTGGACGCGTGCAATGTATTCCAGTAGCTTCCCTGCAAGTGTCAGAACTGTCTGCTCAGTGCTTTACACTTCAGGCCACTGATCACACAGTTTTTCTGCACTGCATTAAGTCCTCTTCTGGTAGCTGTTACGTTGTGATTGGTCCTTGCTTCAGATTTTGGTTCGGGGTTTCGTTTTTCAATGTCAAAATATTTGTTCTCTAACAGTTTCAACAGCCCACCATGCTCAATAAGGACACTCTTAGTTACATCTTAGTTAAGCCATACAACGCCTTCACATGTGGACTCCCTGCTGGTAAGAAGGGAGCTCCCCACAGTAACTCTGGCCATCGGTTTACGTCAGGCATTACATCAGGTGCATTACAGACCTTCATCACCAAAGAGGCCGTTGGAAGAAAAGCTCAAATAGAACGATGCAGGAAGAGAAAATTACTCGGCTCTCTTCATCTGTGTGGACTAGCTCAGTCAGCAACCAGTTATACTGTCACTACCAATACTTCCAACAAATTCATGTGGAAACCTTTCTCCACGCAGACCTGTGCAAAAAATACAACCCTCTGCAACTGCAACCATGTACAAGAACTATTCTGCCCACGAGCATTTCACATTCCTTTCTTCATATACTGGGAGAGAAACTGGCTTCTGACAAAGCGGACCAGCTTGGTCTCCGTGCAGAACATGGTGATGGTGGTAGCTGCAAAGCACAGCGCCCCAATGCTGATGTGAATCAGCCTTGCCGTCCATCCCTTGTCGCAGCAGAACAGTGCCTGAAACAAAGGAAACAAGCAATTGAAGGAAAACCACTCAGCACAAGGTAGGCCAGCTGTTACACTACAGCATGAGCTCCAGTGCCTCTTGAGACCATCCCACCACGACATCACAGGGAGCACGGGCAGTGGGTGCAAGAAACATCTGTCACATGCACCCATCCTACCACAAACCATCCTTCCTAGTCACAGCACTTGCTTTAAAAAACAAAACAACAAACAACAGAAAGTCAAGTGGCATGAAATGAGCATTCTGCACATACCTGATAGATGTGAAAGTTATTTGCCACGGAAAATGGTTATCAGGAAAACTCTGCTGATGCTGTCCAACAGGTCTGCCATTCTGCCCCAACCTACCCAGCTGCCTTTCAGAAAAAAGGCCACTGCAAACCTCCCATGCCAAACATAAAGCTCTCCTTTCTAAGGCACCACGGAATGTCCACCTGTCACACTCTTGTACTCCCTAACACCACCACCTCTGCAGTAACTTGTCTGTGCAATTACCACTCTGCAACCTCAGTGCAAGCAGTAAAGGCACTTGGAGACGTTTCTGTTTTGGTGCTTGTTTTGCTTGTTGTTGCTGTTTTTGTTTCTTTAAACAGAAATTTTCATGACCTTTCTTTGCACTGTCACCATCAGTTATCAAGCACTAAGAACGTGGATGTATGGGCAGGCAGCAGAACTGTTCTACTCATTAGCTACATGGTTCCCTGCCACCTGGAGAAGGCATAGCAGGCAGGCACACGTCTGGAGATGAATATAATTGCGTGTCTGTGTTTAATTCTCAACAGACTTATGCGCAGCCTCACAGGCCTGAATGGAAATCTGCCAGGCTATGGTTATAAGCCTCTTCTGTTAACAGTATTTCTTTCCTTCTGGTGACAAAGCCAGCTGACAAACCTCGCAGTGAAAGGAAAATCCTGAGGCAGATACTTACCTCTGAGTAAACAGTAATTCCTCCGCTTATGACATAAGCCAGTATTAAGAATGGTGAGGGAAGCAAGCCTGTCAAAGGCCTGTAGGAGCTTTCCTTGAAGTAACCATAGATATAATGGATGCTGTGAGCAATGCGAATACCCATATTAAAGCAGTTGGCAAGGATAAAGCCAACGCTTCCACGCCAGCGGGTCAAGAAGTAAGAGCTGCACAGGAACATGAAGGACAAGGCCAGCATAACAAAGTTGTATCTAGGAAGAAGAAACAACAGAAACAACATATATAACGCATACAGTTGCACTGCTTCATTACTAAACGCATTTTCAAAAGAAAAAAATCCACTAGCTTGCTGAAACGCAGGAATGACAACTACTCTCATCTATGACAGATGGCAAGGTTGAGATCAGAGCTATGAAGAAAAGAAATCACCACAAGGTTAAAAACTACCCTGAGCAAAATAAAAAGAATTTCTTTCTTTCTGTCAAAAGCAGATGCCATTTAATTGATGACCTAACAAAACAAAACAAAGCCAAAATAATTTGGAATGGCCTTATAATGGACAACTGCTGCAGAAGTGAAACAAGTCCGATGGCAGCCATCAGGCTGCAGTGCCAACACACCAGAACAAACAGAGAGCCGACAAAACATCCAGGCTGGGAGAGATCTCAGGAAGCCATGCAGTGCAACACTCTACTCAAGGCAGACACAGCACTGAGCTCACGTGCCTGATTCACTTCATCCCAAACGTGCTCTATAGAAACTGCATCTAAAAGCTCCAACAGCTGCAGATACTAGTGAACTTTCATTAACAGTCCACCTTACAAACTGAAGGTCAATTCAAGTACACGTACACTAAATAAGACTCCACAACTAAATCCCTTTCCCTGTTTGCTGTCCACCAAAAGCTAAGAGCCTTCTCAATTAACTTTTCTTTACCCAAAGGGTTGAACAGTTACTAAAGCTTCTACACTGAGGTCTGTACTCCAGCAGCTCAATTGGCAGTCTGGGCTTCAAGGGGCAGGAACACAGTCCTTAAAATGACTGCCCAAAGAAACTGGTGCCTCAGGAACTGAAAAGCATTTCCAAGCAAATATCCAAGCAGAACATTTGCTCCCCATCCACAGCTTAACTCCATGCACATCACATACAGATGGTTACAGGAAGGCACAGGGGATACTCCTCACCTGTCCACCTCCTCTTTGCACATCAGAGCAAACGTGAAACATTCTGTTACTCCATTGACAGCAAGAAATAGGACATACAAAGAGTAGCACCGCAGAAGGTCTGGACCTAAAACAAAACAAAGACAACAACATCACAAGGGTAAAGAGATCATTATTTCTTTTACAAAACCACACTGGGTTTATACTCGACGACAGAAGCTGTAACATCATCACTGCTGATACTGGCAGCTTCTACGTGCCTCTGAGGAGCTTCTGGGCAACACATCTGGACAAGAACACAAACAGAAAACACAAGGCCAAGCAAAACCAAAACCAAAATACAAGAGAGCAGCAGCTGTTAACGTCAAAGAGAAGATCTCCACCACCAAAGTGATGACTGCACTAAATGGGATTCTCTACCTACTGCAAACCAATTCTTTCACTGCACAGAGATCTGTGAGAAAGGATCCAGCAGACACTGTAATGTGCTCAGAGCAATCAAATGCACGTTTGGAATACAAAAGGAAGACGAAAAAAACAACAGAGCTGCTCAACATATTCAACACCAGATTAAGGATTAGACACACTAGGTTACATAGCTAGATTAGATAGCTGGATTAAAACCAGATATTTACATTTTACAGGTCACAGATACGGGTAACTTCAAAGTTCATGAGAAGCCAATTTCTGGATCCCTCCTTCCTTGTAAACCTCCTAATATGGTTAACACTACTGCCGAGCAACATTCCAGCCTCTGCAATCATTCCTACGGGCAACCTTGGGAGCTGCAGCGCTGCCACAGCTGCAATATTTTAAGTGTAAGCATCTACAGGAGGACAAAGGACTTCAATTATTCTGCCAGAATAAGGCCAGGTGACAGCACAGCAGAATGCAGTTCCAAACGCACACTGGGACTCGGGGCTGAAAGCTTCTTTTAAGCTGAGCTGATTTTTCTCAGGCAGAAAGCTGACCGAGCCAAGAACTCAGCACAGAGCTGAGAAGCAAAAACTGCAGCTCAAACTTTTTACCTGTTCCGGAGCTGAGCATCGAACCTCCATAAATATCCAGAGCCAGCTGAGAAAAGGCATAGCCAAAAACAGCAATGGTCAGGCCGATCAAAAGCACCAGCTTCAACAGCAACTCCAACACGTCTGCAGCCAGAGCAACGTCATCCTGGGCAGAAGACAAAAACACAACCACAAAAGCCAGCAGTCAATTACACCAACCAGAATCAGCACTGCTGCTGTTCTCACCAAGAAGAACTATTCCACGGGGAAAACCTCCACTGGCACCAAGCAAGGCAGCATCAGAACTATTCTTTGCTCCTGAAACACCTCCACACCTGGTCCTAGCTTCCAACTGTGCTCATGTATTCTTTTTCTCTTCCGTGTGACACGCAGAACTCTAAACTAAGATCAGCCATTAACAGCTCTGTTGCAGGCTTTAAGGAAAGGGGAAAACAGCAGCTGCACCTGCTAACAGCCAGCAAACAGCAAAGGAAAGCACAGCATTTGCCCAAGGCCACAGCCTGAAGCACCCAAAGGGTCACATCTTCACTGCCACCTTGGACTACGAGTTTTGCCACAGCACAAGGAGCAACTGCAGTTCCCAGACGATGCAGTGTTATGCTACTGCGCCCCTAACTCCTTCTTTGCTAGCTTTTCACCTGCTTGCTTTTTGCTCCAGACCCCTTTGGCATGCTCTCCACTTCAAATTGCTTTCCATTTCAACAGTCTCGATGCACGCCAGTCACATTCCTGATACAATTCAGCTCCAACAGAAGGCAAGCATTGCATGTGGAACCAAGAGTGACAAGCATACCTGCTTCTGATCCTTTACGTTCTTCCCTCTTTCCAACACTTGAGCGAAAAAGACATAAAAGCTCTCTTCAATAGGCAAAAAGATGAACCTGGCCACCAGCGAACCCAGATTGTTCACGGTATCATACACACCTTTACAAACAAAAGACACCAACAGCTGTCACTTTTTTCTGCCACAATTCCAGGACTAACAGCAGCACAAATTCCTATCCCACATTTCTGACAAACAAAGAGAAAACCAGCGGAACTTCATCCAGCGACAGCCCCAAACACCCTCAGACAGCCCCTTCAGTGCTTACTGCAGGGAAGAGAACAGAGCCAGATGAAAGAGAATCTGGTCTCTGAATGGCAACAGGAGAGTAAAGCTTTCACTGACAGGGAGGAAGAGAAAGATGGGCATTGTTAGCTTGAGGCGCTGTTGGTTTCTTGCTTTTTGCTCCCATTGAAGTGAACAAGGAACCCCAGGTAACGTTTTACCAGCACTTCCAGACTCAGGAAGACACCAAGCATTGCTCCAAGTCTGCTAAGACATCTGGCTGTATTACCAGAACACAGACAGCAAATCACGAGGGGTTCAGCACTTGGACAAATGCTGTGCAACTTCACAGAGAAACGACACGGTGCGGTTCTGACTGATTTCACACCATCCCCATTCAAACTCTCGTAACGTTTGCAGAGCACAAGAATTTCTGCACTCGTCCATTTTATAAAGACCGTCCAGTAGGAGGCAGCTTATTTGTTCCCTGGGAGGGCCAGCAGTGGATGAACCTTCCGGCAGCGAGAGCATAAAGCCTGTGCTTATGGGAGAACGTTCCACTGCCAGCAGGGAACGGGAATTCAAAACAGCCAAGAAACCCAGCAGCGGGCCAGCAATTACGGCCTGTTCTCTTGCCCAGGTGAGACCTGTGGTGCTGCCCCCTGAACTGCTGCTGCCATGCATCACTCTGTAATGACACAGCGCTCTCATGGAACACGTTCAGTGGGAGATACAATGCTACAAACAGCAGTGCTCCTGCTGGAACAGCCAGCACAGGCTCCACAGGAAGAAAATGGGACCAAAGGAAGAGAAGGAACTGCAGAGCATCAGATTCCTCTTCCAGTTTTTTAAAACGGAAACAAGATGCACAGCAAAACAGACACAACTGCACAGTTCTGATCCAAAGCAAAACATTCTTTACATGCACGACCCTCAAATAAGCTGCTGTGGTTTTGGTTGTTGGTTTGTTGGTGTGGGCTTTGGTTTTTTTTTCATATCCGTTTGTCCATCATTCTCTGAAATGCACCTCAAAGTCCCAATGCCACTGAATCCTCCCACAATGTCACGTTATTTTCAAGTGGTTTCCAATATTTTCAGAAGCAGACAACAAGTAGAAAATTCTGCCGCTGTCCCACAGCATCACCACACTCACCCTGATCGCCAAAATCGATCACGTTCAGAAAAGTCATCACGTATCGCTCACCTGCAAGTTCAGAATACAGAAGTCAGGACAAGCCCCTACACCTCCCCCAGGTGTGCTCAGGCACTGCTCACAGGCAGCATTCGAGAGACACGTCTCACAGGACAGCGCTCATGCTCCATACGCCTTCAATCACTGCCTCTGGCTCGGCAGCACCCGCTGGTGCCGCTCTTGAACACCGCCCCCCCCAGCCTTCCCAGGCTCCGTGTTCACCTGGTGCCCAGCATTCACTTGCCTTTCCCCAGCACCCCCACACGTCCAGCCTCACCCTCTGTCAAAATCTGCTTCAGGAAGGATTGCTTGAAGAAGCTCCAAGTCAGCCGCGCCTCCTTCCAGTTAAGGAAAGGCTGCAACACCCAACAAACAACGTCACTCCCACCTGGCTGACTTTCTCCCTTGCGCACAATCACCATCGCTGCAGACAGACCGAGGAACTGCAACAGCTTCCTACAGCACACAGCACTCGACAGGACGAGATGGGGAAAAGTTACCTAGCGCACCGATGGAACACTAAGAACCCTCACGGTAAAATTCATCTTTCAGTGCTCTTCAAAGCCTTCCCGCAAGTCTCACAAGCCAGAACTGCCTTTCTATTCTCCATCCCTCAATCTCACCCTCACAATGCCTTCTTCCTCACCGTGCCTTTTCAGTTCCTTCTTCGCCCCATCTCCTTTCCAGAGGACATCAGAGATCTGAGCATCTGGAGGACGCTGTGCACCACCACATCTTGCTGGAGGAAAAGCTGAAGTACCAGCACTATAAGATGGCCCTGGATTCTCTCCTGCCTTCCACCTGGTACCTGCTCACTCCCTTGAACACTGCAAATGTTCCAGCTCCAGTTAATGGGTTGCGCAAAGCTACCAGAAGACAAGACAGCCAACGAGGCCCAGAAACAGACAGCTCCAGGTTCCTCGTGGTCTTCTGACAAGGAACGCACCAACCGTAAATGGAATTTCATGCAACCGTCCTTCCTGACCAGCCATACTTCATAACCTCAGAAACTCACTTCACTCCAGCGCCTCCACACAGTTTGCAAAAGTTCTCTCCTCAAAGACTTGAGAACAAACTGTGCGACCCACCTGAGCTTCCATCAAGTTCGGTAACAAAGCTTTCATTGTTGGGATTGGAAAGGACTTCTTTGCTGCTTCAGGAGATCCCAAGAACTTGGCAAAATAAACCACGTAGCACATTACCAGAACACTGGTGTATAAAAGCTGAAAAGACGGGGAAGGAAAGAATTAAAAACCAATAAATAGTAGAACAAAACCAACTTACAATCATAGAGTCACATGCTAGCTTCCCCAAGTCAGTGGGAACTGAAGGCAGTAAGAAGTTCTCACTCCTGTCAAATTTCAATCAGGCTGAAGGCATTACTGTAACTCCCCTCCACCCACACAGAATGCTGCTGATTTAAATTTCTCTAATCAGCAGATCAGCATCACAGTCCTGTGCCAACCTTCCTCACCTCCCATTCAGCATTTTTAGAAAGAGCCTGTTGAGTCCAATTTAAAAACAACTATTTGGTCAAAACACAGCTGACACACTTCCAAAGCAGTCAAAGCACATACAGCATCACAGCCTCATATGCAAAACCTGCCTTTCTGCATGCAACAAAGGTGCTCCCTTGCACCTCCATTAAACTGACCGGGGTCAAAACATCAAGTCAGTAACAGTTATCATCACAGCTCTCAACGTTTAAATCCTATCCTCAAAGGAACCTTCCCTCACCTCCCCAGTGCTCTTCAGCAGGCTACACGTCAAAGGCAGCAGCAAGTGACCCTTCAGAGCAAGAACTGATGTCGAGAAATAAGACAGGAGGCTTACCTGAGCCAAGGAAAAAATGTAGAGGCCCCACTGTGGATAAAGGATGACTAGAACAACCGTCAGAATGCATTTTGACACTACGGAAAGGCTTTCAGCAATTACCTTCAAGAAAGACAGAACAGAGAACGTTCCTTTTTGCCAGCTTAAGCACCTACAGGAACACAAAGCGCTTCAGTTTCACACGCACAGCCCAACTTAGACTGCAGTCTCTCTGCACATCCTCGCATCTCATGGTACACAATTCCCCCGTGGCACTGCCCCAGCCCCCTGCGTGGGACACGCACAGCAGTACATCTGGCTTCACACAGTCGTGATCCCAGCTGTTGCCCTTCACCATCTCACCCCGGCAGTGGAAAGCACAACTGGGGAAGCCATCTGTGCCTCCCTCTGATTAACACTCATGATTACGTATTTAATGACCATAAGGCGATCATTTCTAAATAAATTAATTTCCTTTCTTGAACACGAGCAAACTGAGCGTTGTAACATATCTGCTAAAACTAAGTCATGCATCATTAAGCAGCCCATAACTTCATTTACTTTTTAAAACACTCCTGAACACATATAGAGCCTGCTCAGGAATCCGTTCTTTACATCACTGTTTTCAACAGGAAAAGATTTCTCTCTCTCCCTCTCCTTAACACACACACACACACACACACACACACACACACACAGCCCCATGCACGTAGCTTCCTTACTAACCTTAAGTCTTACAAACAAGTGAGCCTGGGCTAAAACCCAGAACGGTTCTCCTAGAAGCTCAACAACCGCAGAAAGGCCAAACGCCACAACAGCAGCCCCATAATGAGGAACCGCCGACGGATCAGGAACTTCAAGGAAGTGCAGCCAGACGAAGCCCAAGGAAACAGACCAAAAAACACCAAGAGGGACTCTAAAAAGTCAACGTAACAACAGTCAGGTTTTCTCAGGCAGAAAAAAGAACGGGAGAAAATCTGATTACAGTTTCACGTGCTGGTCTACTTTTCTTAGTTTTGAAGCGATCTGATGAATTCATTTCTATTGCAACTGCAACCTTGGGTGTAAAACACGTAGCTACGAGTTGCCACGCGCTGCTCCGAGCTGTGGTGTAAAACCTGTAACAGCAACGTGCAACCACAGGTTTTGATGCCACCACTCCAAGCGCTGTGCCGAGCGTTCCACTCAACGACAGCGCAGTCAGCAGAAGAAAACACGCCCGCGACCGAGCCGTGCCGGCTGCCAGCAGCACCGCAGCGCGAGGCTCTTTCCAGCAGCGGCCGCCGCCAGCAAAGCCGAGCGGGGCACGCGGTGCGGACGCGCACTGCCTTCTGCCGATGCCGCTTCGGGACCCGCG